AATTTTCTGAAACTCCCAAATAGAACCAGACAGCACGAGACAAGGAGCCGACACCGGCCAGTCCCCAATCCCCACCGGCACTCCAACTTTTTCCCAGGCATTCGCAGTTCAAGAGTCCCCACCTACAAACACCCCACACCTTCAGTGCCAGTGGAAGTGCTCATGCGAGGCTCCTGCGACGGGCTGCACGATGGAGCGAGGCCCCTGTGCTGCATGGGAGCAGCAGGATTCGCAACAGCAGGGTTTCAAATCCTGAGCCACGAAGGTTGAGGTACAAACAAAGGCTCAATTCCCAAACGCACACATGGGGTTCTCTTGTGGAGTAACGGAAGGGAATCATGTTCCGGTTGCGCAGGCTGCTGGGGGCTATTGTTTGGGGCGTCCATTCAGCGCCCACGCCGGGGAATGAACTTTGGACTTGACAGGTTTCGCAAGGCAGGCTGCGGGATAGGGGACGGGGGGACGTTGCTCCTGTGGCAGCTGCCAAAGATTCGGGCTGTGTAGGGGTTTGGGCTGATGTTGTGGATCGGTTCGCTGATACAGTCTGCACGAATGTTTGTCTCGCCTTTCGGCCGGCCTGACAGGTTTTTCCCAGCCATGCGGATGTGCTCATGAGTAGCTAGGGCGAAGTGTGCAAAGTGTGCACGCGCCCATGGTGCTTCCGGCGCCCACACTGAATGACCAACATGGGCAGGAAGTGGATGAATCGAGTCTGAGCAAGGGCCGCCTGGATTGGTTTCTGCAGGTCATCAAGAGCGCCCCACTGGCGGTGGCATCTGAGCTTTCGCACCACCGCGCGCTTTTCCCCTTGGCTATAGCTCAGATGACCTTGCTGGCTGATCAGCCTCTGCTCTCCACCAACATGTCCGCAGTGGCCAACGAATTCGGCTTTGCCGGGGCGGAGAAGGACGAGAAGCTGGGGGGCATAGCAACTCGACTGTGCTTGCAAAACAGGGCATAGAACCCGCATTCATTGCAATCTGAAGTGTGACCAAGGTTAGCGTCGTGTTTTTTGCCTGCGGGGTGGTTTCCTCACTCATCGTGGGCCGCCTTGCGGATGTCATGAAGCGCTCGACCCTGGTCTGCCTTTGCATGCTGATTGGCTCCACAGGCACCTTCGGTGTTGTTGTTCTTTAACTGATGGCTTCCGTTGCGGTGGTGGTGCTGCTGCTGCGGCTGCTTTGGTTGTTGCTGCTGGTGTGCATCGCCGCTCCCACGGCTGGTGCTTCTGCTGATTGCGAAGCCGGAATCAACCAAAGCTCCCGCCAGTCTGTTGTCCTTGTGGTGCCGCGTCTCCCACGTGGTGCCACCTTTGCCGTTGTTGCAGTGGGCGCTGTTGTTGTCACGTTCCGTTTCCTACTGGTCGCTGTCTTCAGCTGCTGGTTACATGCTGTTGTGTCATGTTGTGTCTTACCATATGTCCATCCTTGCCATTGCGATTACACTGTCGAAAGGTGATCGGGTCGTTTGCAGACATGGTTTCGTTTCGGGACGCGAAGGCACCTTCAGCAACTCCCAAGCCGAAAGCTTCGCTTCTTTGCTCTTCGGACGCGCTGCCGTGGGCGCGGCTGTGGGTGGCCTCATCCCGACGAGCTTCGCCGTCATCGGCGACATGTGCCCGGCAGAGGCGACTTGGCAGCGAAGCCGTCTAAGAGCGCGCTCATGATTTTGGGATGATGCCACATGCTCAAAAGTCGCAGCCAGACATAGCAACTGTTGTCTCGCTGGCTTCGGCCCAGCAGGGGTGTGCACGGGGGTGTGCTGAACAGAAGCGCTTCGCGACGATCGAGCTGTAGGTACTGCACTAGCGTAGGTTGTGTAGGTTGTAGAAAGTGGGAAGTAACTTGTAGAGTACAGCAGCAAGTCAGAACTGCTGCCAGGCCTCTGCGTTTGGAGAGGACGTTTCGCACATGTAAACCCCTGGGACAGGCGTCGCCACAATCTAGCGGCAGCCTACATGCGGTTCTTAACAATCTAGATCCCCTTACAGGCTCTCCCAAAAGTTCTTCAAATTGCGGCAATTAACGCCTTGCAACCAGAAAGTCCAAATCAATGCTCAAGGAGAGGCCTCATGCAATCGGCGTGGTGTGCATTATCTCGGGCCTGGGTCTTCCAGTCGGCCAATCTTTGGCCGGCTTCGCTGGGTCCGCTGCAGGTTGGGGTAGTATGTGTTTGATAGCGTAATGTATTTCTTTCTAGTCTATTCTATTCTATTCTATTCTATTCTATTCTATTCTATTCTATTCTATTCTATTCTATTCTATTCTATTCTATTCTATTCTAGTCTATTCTATTCTATT